TGGGGCCTCCTCTTCTGTTTGACCGGGTAAAACTTTGGGTCCAGGCTTAGCTTGTGAGTGGTTATCTCCGGCGGGATTCCTGTCATTCAAGGTGGGACCAAGCGAAACAATCTTCGTTAGTTATAATAAATTGAATGAGTTTTTCCCTGAGTTTGGAGCTTAACCTCGTGCCCAGGTATACATTTTGATCGGGCAAGCGTTCTCACAATATGACTTGTTCCAGCTCTTCGACCGTCGATTTAGTGGTGTCGGAATCATCGGGGGCTATAAAAGATCTGGGAACCCCATAATTATCATCCTCGAATTCCCTTTGTTTGTCCGAATCTGCCGAGGATAGTATCGGTGATTACTTTTTGGCCCCTTTATGACCATCTGGTTCGGATCCTTCGGTGTTGAGATTGCAGACGCCGGTATCACCTCCTCGACCGCGAAAATTTCCTTTGCAGTCGGTTGTTCACCGTAGACTATTTTGACTTCGCCAGGTGTTGGGAATTTCAGTGCCTAGTGTAGTGTCGAGGGCACTGCCCTCGTGTTGTGGATCTATGGCCTCCCGAATAAAGCGTTGTACCTCATGTCCCATTCGATCACATAAAATTTGGTCTCCTAGATGGTCCCGTCGATATTTATTAGTAACGTTATTTCGCCCTTAGTGGTCTCATATGCCATGTTAGATCCGTTTAGAACTCGAACTGCAGGCACGATTTGGTCTTGTAGACCGAGTTTCTCCATAACCCTTGATCGAATGATGTTAGTTGTGCAACCTGGATCAATTAACACGCGTTTAACCCAAATTTTATTTACGAGTACAGATATTACCAGTGCATCATTTTGGGGTTGTACGATTCCTTCCACATCCTCGTCGCTAAAAGATAAAGTTCGTTCTGGTATGTAGTCTCAAGTTCGTTTCTCCCTAGTGGTGGATACTTTGGTGCGTTTCAACATCGGCCCCTGTGGGATATCAACCCCACTGATGATCATGTTAATGATGTACTGAGATTCTTCTTGTTCTGCCTGTTTGTTAGAATCCCTATTCCTGAAATGATTCTTGGCTCGGTCGCTCAAGAATTCTCGAAGGTGTCCATTGTTGAATAGTCGGGCTACTACCTCCCCCAACTGTCGACAATCCTCCGTTCTGTGACCGTGAGTACCATGATATTTGCACATCTGGTTAGGATCCCTTTGGGTTGGATAAGATTGTAGAGATCGAGGCCATTTGGTATCTTTGATGCACCCGATAGCTGATACAATGGCGGCAACATCGACATTAAAGTTGTATTCTAATAGCCTCAGCGCTTCTTTAGGCCCGATGGGTCTGTCGAAGCTATTTTTAGTCATGATTCCCCGGTTACTTTGTCCTCGGTCATTTTTTTTTCGTTTCTTATGGAGTTTCGCCCGGATCCACTACTTCTCCGATCTCCATTATATGGCTGATATCGATCCATGTTTGGTCTTGGTTCATGATCGATGTCTCTCTTGATTCTGTCGAGGGTTCTGACAGGATAAACAGACCCCGAGGGGGGCCCAAGTTGATCGTCTCAGACTCTGATTTTTGATTGATACCGATTATGCACATCGGCCCAGGTAATGGTCGGGTATTCTATCAGGTTCTGCTTCAGCTGTTGTGAAGCCACCGAGCTTCGAATATTGAGTCCCTGAGTGAAAGCGTGAACAACCCAATCATCAGTGACCGGTGGCAGATCCATTCGTTCTATTTGAAACCGGGACACGAACTCCCTGAGCATCTCGTTTTCCTTCTGTTTGACTTTGAAAATGTCTGATTTCCTTGTCTCGACCTTGATGGCATTAGCGTGTGCTTTATGAAAGAGTCTGCAAGCATAGCAAATGAGTCAATAGAATTAGGATTGTGGTACCATATCATAGCTCCCTTTGACAAGGTCTCTCCAAATTGTTTCAGCAGAGCGGACTCGATTTCATCGTCCTCCAAAGGGTCTCTCTTGGTATAAGAGGTCACATGCTTATTTGGGTCGGTCGTTCCGTTATACTTAGGTATCTCGAGCATACACAATTTCTTGGGGATTGGCTTCGGAGCCGCGCTCGGAGGAAAAAAAATTGTACGAACTTCCTGTAATCCCGGCCTTTCAATATTGGAGGCGCTCCTAGGATTTGGTCTACCCTGGAGTTGTAGGTCTCCACCTTTTTATCATTAGCTTCGATTTTCTTTTCCCCTGATTCTACCCGTTTCGGCAGCTCATCGAACATCTATATGATCTCGGGGTTAGCCCCCGATTCGAGTTAATTTGTCCTTACAATGACCGGTTCATCACTACGGGTGACTTCCCGGGGCGGATCGGGCTCAACCCCGCTTGGTGCACGGCCCTGGTTCTGCAACTGAGCTATTGCCGCATGTTGAGCCTGCAACATTTCGAAGATCACTCGTAGACTGATCCCGTCTACTTCAATGTTTTGTGTGTTTCGAGTTATCGATCGGGCTCCACCACGAACGCTAATTTCGGTATCGGTAGGCAAGTTTGCGTCGATAGCCACATGTGAATTAACGTCGATCAGATCTGCGATCGAAATTTCGCCGGGATCAGCAGGTGGTACCTCGTTACCGGGCGCTATGTTGTTGTTTTCACCTTGATGACCAGACTCGTTGTCAACATGTAGAGGTGTTGATTGAGAGTTTGACATTTTGTGTTTTAGCCTGGAATCAAAGACACTTCAAAAAGCAAGTATAAAGTAGTGTGTGTTATGAAGATTCGTATCAAATAACCACTTTTATACTTAGCCCCACGGTGGGTGCCAAGCTGTTTACCCTCAAAATCGGATAACAATTGAATTTGTACGTGGTTTTAAGGATACGCGATCTAACTTGATACAAAACGAGAAATCAGATTAATATTGAAATAAGCAATAAAAAAATAAATGCAAATCACACAAGTTGAACAATCTTAGCCTTGAAGAATAATCACACTCGAGTCAGAAAGGTTTTTATCGATGTCGGTACAGAATGACAAGATAATGAGAACTAGAAATAATAATATATTGCTTTGTGATGCGTGGTACCGTATTTTGAATGAATTATCAGACCCCCTTTATAAAGTAGAGGAGTCCTATTCTAGGTACATTTCTATAAATGGTAAAAATCTCTTGATTTGCTGATTACCGGTTCCTTGCTGATACGTGCCAAGATTCTCGCCGTAATATCCATCCGATCGCGGATATTTCGGTCTTCTGTTAGTTATCCTCGAGCTCGTTCGAGGCTAAGGTCGACACCGGACTCAATTTTCCTCGAAGGCAGGTTTTCCGACCTCGAGTTCTAGCTCGGTGAGACTCGAGTTCAGTCCGTGATCGCCATGTGCCAAACTTAATCTACCAAGTTGAAGTCGAGCTCAACTTCGACCGTATACAATACTATCAGTATGAGTTTTATTTTCCTCATATCAAAATGATGAACAAAATACATTCCAAAATACCTGCTAAATCACTTAAATTATTACTTGGAATTTGGAAAAGAGAAAACAACAAGAGCATAGGAAACGCTTCCGCAGAGAAAAATTGGTTTCTACTCTCCACGGTGACAGAACCCAAAGAGTAGTGAATCAGTTTAAAGTAAAGGGTCTCTGTCTTTAAGTTTAAATAAGTGAATTTAACTTATACGCACTTGACCATTTAAAAAGCTTGTCTACATTATTAATGTATGTTTACTTGTTGTAGACTTGTAGTTATGATCTATTTTATTTTTTAAATTATTAATTACTTTTTATGACCGATCATCACGTATAATTATGTTTTAAGCGGTCTGATATAGTATATAAAAAATTAAACTCTTATATTTAGTACTTCAACTTTCAAATGATCGAGCGTTACTCTTGTTTTTTTTTTCTTTTCTTTTTCGGCTCTCTATTTACCTTTTCAACAACCTTATTGAATATTACGATTTACAGATTATGGATCCTTGTGTTGACTGGTTAGAAACCTCATCACCTAGTCATATTAAACGTGTCACGTGCTACTATGTTGGCCATTCATATACTAACAATTTATAAATGTCTGTCTAAATATACCCAGAGTCCCCTTCAAATCAATATAACTTTCAACAAATTTCAGCTTAGTAGTATAGAAAAGATAACATTATCCTTGAGAGATCAAAGACAAGTTGCTACTTTCTAGTAAATGTTAACGAAGGGGACCCCAAATTCAAGCTAGATTATTCGTGTGTTTCTCGTAACTACGAAAGGTGTTACTCCTACTATTCGTTTGCCGGCATCATTTCCATTCTTTGCTTCAAAAAATACAGACAACTTGAAGGTTGTTTTCGAGGAAGTCTACGTCAGTTTCAATACATTTTAATCTTCATAGGAATTAAAAAGGATTATCCTCAGTCTTGTCATTGTTGTTGCTATACTTCCCCCTATTTTAATAGGTATCAGTGACTTGTAGTTGCCAGTGGGAGTTTCCTTCATGACCAAAAAAAAAAAGGAGTTTCCTTATTCCTTTTCCGCAAGTATTTAAGTTTAGTTCAATTTTGGATTTGACACTCGGTGAAATTGGTAGTCATTGCAAACAATTCAAATGGACAATAACCGTTGACAGTTTAAACGATAAACCAACTTTTCAAGTGTTCAAACTTTTGGCCAATCTCACAGAAATCCCTAGTTGACATGCCTTTTGTCGTAGCTCGGTTAATACTTTCAGATTCGTGAAAGGAGCAATATCAAAAGGAACAAAAACTAGATACCTCACGGTGATCTATAAACTAATCTTCGAATGTTTACCTTAACCCGAGCAAGTTGGCAAGTTAGTGTCTTTTTCTGATTTCCAAAATTCAGTATCGTTTTCTATTTTCCTTTCGTTGCAAATAGAAGAGGCTTAGTTTGGCATCAATCGCACACTGACTCCGAGACGTTAGACTGAGCTGCGTTTCTTAGATTGTTGGATACAAGACAATGGACTGGCACTTCGATCCGGGGAAAAGGGAGCAGAGGAAAGGGCAAAATGAAACAGAAAGTTAAAAGGATTAAATATAAAAACAAATAAAAGCAAAGCGAAAGCGAACACACTTTAATTGTGGTAAAATCGGTCATTAACAAAAGTATTTGACCACTTAATTCGTTCTGATATACAAATCCACTGCGATTTGCATTTACTACTGCAAAATCTTCCTCCTTCTGCAAGCTTAAATAATATACTCCCGCAGATACAGTCCCTAGAAAGCCAGCCACTGGAACGTCATCATAGCTCTTTCCAGATCGCACTAGTTATCCAAATCCTAGAGGTGCCTGCCTTCTGATCATCGTCATAGAAGGCCGGCAAACTATACACCAAACAAGCAGATGCCCTAAATTAAACCACAAGGTCAGGCGCCTTTCACTACAAAACATAATCAAGGTAGTGGTGACAACGTTTACGGTTAAACTCCAACAAGCTTCCATAGGTTCGGTCGGCCACTCCAATAAAGAGAGCTTCAGTATCAGGGCTGAAGGATATCCCAGCAATCTCGCCAAACAAATCAATCTCTTGACAGGCGCCATAATCAGATTGTGTATCGAAAATGTGGACAAAATCAGCTGGCTCAGCCATGGCCATGAAGCGACCATCTGATGTGAACTTGATTGCACGGATAGCACCCATCCTTCCCCTGAGTACTGCTATAGACTGTGATGTGTTCCTTATATCCCACAATCTGCAAGTTGTGTCTTGGTTACCAGTTGCCAAAATTGTTCCATTCGGGTGCCAAGATGATGCAAATGAATAGTCTAGGTGACCTTTTAGGTTGCTGACAACCTGAAGCATCAGGCAAAGGTCAACACATGAGCAACTAATTATTAAAAGGGTTAAAAGGTTAACACCCCCTCGTTTAAAAGATATGGATGAGACCAACCTTCCCGCTTTGACCATCAGCAATTAGACATTCTGGACTATCACCAAGGACAGCAAGTAGTTTACCATCTGGGCTAACAGAGGTGTTCTGCAATGAAATAGAGAGTTGTGAGTAGAGAGCCAACGAGAATTGTCAAAGTTGTGATACTACTTCATAAGAGGAAATTTAAAACCCTGCTACTCACATTAACAGACCAAGGGAATGTATAACGACTGGTGCAAGCGAAGTTTTTTGCATCAAAAACTCTGACTTGCTGATCATTATTAGCAGTGATTATCCTCATCGAGCCACTGCAAAGAACCATATAAGCATTGGTACAACAGTCTCCACAACGAATTCAAGAAAAGCTACAGAAAGACAAATTTCAGGGACTTACATAGGACTATAACAAATATCCACAGCATTAGTTATAGCATTCTCTTCGTTACTTATTTTTGTACTGAATGCCACTTCAGGATGGTGTAGATACTGCACGAGTTAAAATCATATCAGTATCCATTACCTTCAGGAAGAATACAAATCTGTTCAGACAGTATATTGTCATCCTACCTTACAGATAAGCTCCCCTTGGAAACCACCAGCAGCCATTAAACCATCTCTGACAGCCAAAGTGCTGATTTGCACACGAGAAAGTGTTTGAGACACTGATCCAGGGTATTTCTGCACAAACCAAAGAGTTAATTCTTGACTGCCAAAAGTCATTTAAGCATATAATGATAGACAAATTTACAAAGCATTACTAACCATAGTGGGCACCAATGGCTTAGCAACATTTAGCACTTCTTTTCCCCTCCTGAGAAGTGAGGACCAGTGCATCACGGAGTAGTTTTGCATCAGATACACATCATGTTTTGATGTAGACCACAAGAGATTCCTCAACTGAAACAAAAATATAAATTGGTCGATACACTAATCAATGGACAGCATACAAGCTTCTAATGGAGCAAAAAATGACATCATATAATATAAATATATCCGATAAAGCAAAAACAACTACTTCAGAATGCTGTCACTTGTTAAAAAAAATATTATCATAAAAACTTTTTAGAAAAATGCTGGCAGATTATGCAGCTTAAGAAAAAAGAAAGCATCATTTCTGCACAGCAGTACTTGATCATGATATCTGAACCAAGTTTTACTTGGATAATATCAGAAGCTACGCATGCAGTCGTGTACAGTTCAGTGTTCAGACAGTTCTCAATAACAGTCTCAACCATATGGCTAGCTGAAGAGTGAAGTATCTAATTTGGAATAAATAACCTACACAAACACAATGCAGAATGGACCACAAAAATCAATCGCCCCCCTCTCTCCTTCGCTGGGTCAGGCTCCAGAAGAACAAAGAAAATAGAAGAGAACAACATATGAAAGCCCTAAAAACAAAGTTAAGTCGAAAGTCACCATATAGTTAGTCCTAAATATTAGTGGTCAATGACGCATAAGCTAGCGACTGAACAGCTGCTAGCCTGCTACAACTGAACAATCTACCACTCATAGATACACATATCATCTGTGATAGAGCTGGTTTGTTAGAAAGCAAGTCGGGCAAGCAAACGAATAGTAATTCTTTCCTCATACTATAAATCGAAACAGAGAAGAAACCAAGAAGTCAGGAACTGCCAACTGTAACAATGACGAGAGGAAAAATGATGCAGCAAAAGAAGAATGCCAGAGAGACACGAAAGAGATGCCTCACCACAATTTAGAACACTAGATGTAAAGAAAAGACGATGGGTGAGCAAGCTACACTATGCCTCGGTAATTGTCCATATAAAAGGCAACACAACCCAAATAATGCATGATACATCTATGGAATCAAATAGCTTAATAGCTAGATTGCGAAGGAATGTGCCAAGTGCTGTAGAAAGGACCAACAAGAAAAGGAAAGAGAGGAAAACTCTTGGGAGCAGTAAATAAGCAACAGAGCCCAAAGTTCACAAGTGATAATTAACGGTGGAGCACCACATAACAAAGACAATAAATCAGCAACTACGCTCCCAAGTTCAAAATGTGGTTCATCAAGGCAGAACACCACACAATAATGCCACTGAAATTTTTTAAATGAATTCATGAACTCTCAAATGAATGACACACACACAACTCAATCTCAAACTTCCCAACTAGTACACTACATAACTAAGAAATGCAGTTGTCAGAAAGTTCAAAGGACAGCCCAACGGAATATCACAGATCAGTTAATCTTTTTTCCCTAATGGAAAAAGATACTGGCTGCAGATGGCAGCTACAAGAGAAGATGTACCAAAGAAATCAGATAATGATCAAAACTGTGCAATAGTTGTGATACATCAGATTGAAATTTACACCCCATTCCGTGTAAGTACTTAAAGAGCCTGGTGCAGAATCCATCTCCAACAAATAAAAAGAGGAGAAAATGCAACCCTCTTAAACGGAAGATAGAACCATAAACAAGATAATGAGAAGTTGAGAACTCGTGTATGCATTTAATAGAGATATCACATGGAACAATACGTAAGGAGACATTTGAGGTTGCACATTCACACATCTAAATGATTCAGATGATGAAGCAGCACAAATATTTTAATAACTTATTGCTGCCATTAAGAGGTTAGCCAAAAATAAACGGAAGAATGACCAAAAAAGCCTCTTAAATTCTCAGATATTCCCTATCATACCATATGGAAAACGCTCGCCCCAGCTGCTCAACATAATAACCGCTATCCTGCTTTTAAGGCTGAAATACAGATACAATTGAAATGCCCACATGATATTGGTTAATTGGAAAAATACAATTCAAGCAAACTGCAAACAACATTGACAACAAGAATTAAAACTTAACCACTCAACATAATGACCAGCAAAAATGTTCATCAACTAAATATCTTCTAAAGTGACAGCCGAGAAGTATGCAATGATCACTGGGCTCTAACCAGGAATGCATGAACCATGCAGGGAAGGCAACAGAGCTAGTCAGTGACCAACTGAAAATGCAGGACCATGGAAATAAAAAGATCAAAAAGAAATAAAATCAAGCAATTTTATAGAGGGGCACACAAAGCGAAAAGGGGAATTTGGAAATTTCAATCATCAGCTCAACTTTAATGTTTGACACTGTAAAACTAAATGATGTGTGCTCTTTTATCCACTCTGTCGCACGAACTCTCAATCACATAGATGCTAGAATGGAACACAACATGCAACTTGGACTAAGAACTACATTCTATGTCCGCAACAAATTACAAACCCACCAAAAGCCACGTTCAGTCCTCACCACTGAGCTTCCATATCAAAACCCTGGCCTGAAAATACATGCAGCTGATTCATGATGAAATATTCAAGAGTGAAGCGCCAAACAAGGATCTTGTACTATTACAAAGTTTCATGAGACACACTTCCCTAAGTGTTTACAATCTGCACAAAAAGGATATTGTGAATAAAACTCCCGGATCAAAACTCGATCCAGGCACAACAGAACTGCTTATACTGAAAAGAAAATTTAAGAAATCTAAATTCTGCAAATCAGAAAGATTGGCCCCTACATAAATCTTGTAGCTTCCACATGCAGATAGCCAGAATATTGTGGAAGAAACAAAATGAAACTGGCAACACCCAAAGTTCAGGATAGTGTTTTGGTGTTCTAAACAGAAGAAGAAAAAGAAAGCTGCAAGAAAATTGGCAAGTTAACACTAAATTTATATTAGAAGCAAGTTCACCAGCTTGGAGGCCATAAGAAGCATCAAACATACTGGCCCCGGTGACATATTATTCCAGAAAGCTGTCGAAGATGCGTCAGAGGTACATAAAGTTAATGTTTGAGTAATTCCACATCAAGCATCACACTCACTAAATTCTTCGACAATGGTACGAACTCCATACCTCTGAAGAATGAGAGGGCAAGCTTACAGCTTAAAGGTTTAAATTAAAATATCCTTAACGTTAGAGGAGCATAGCACCTGCAAAGGTACAGTTATTGCATGGAAAGAAGAAAAAGGTGACAGGGATCATCAACCTAAGGCCCACACAATGAAAAGACTCAAAATGACCAAATCCTATTGTTAACTCTAAATTCACGCTAAGATTCGAGTAAAATTATTATGATGTAAATAACAAACTACAGAAGAACTAAAAAAGGAAGAGGAAATAATAACATGAAAGGCCAGAATGAAGAAAAACGGCCATGGAGTCATTTGCCATGTTTAATTGAATTATGCAAAATGGGACAACAGAGACTAAATCAACATCAAAACACTAAGACTACGGGTGAAGCAGACCAATCAACTGCTTTCTGCATCATGGTTAACCAATGATTTATACAAACAAAAAAAAACAGAGAATTTTTGTACCTGAAAGTGCACAATAGTGGATTTGACGAGCCTTGTATTGAACTGGAAGTCGTAGAAGCTGTGTCCTTTTCCTACTTCCTTGCACTCCTAAAATCGTGAGGGAAATTTTAGACGTAGCTACGGCAAAAGTTCTAAATAGAAGCTTGGAAAAGACTAGAAAAAAAGAAGCTTTTAACTTGGCATAACTTGGCATTCAACAGATTTCGATTGTCTTATGCTGCAAAGGCCTACTAATTTTGTTTACTAAGCAACTTTTACATGATCACTCTGGTGAAATATGTAAATAAACAAATAATGAAACTAATCCAATTTTCCAAAGATGTACGGGGATAAGCTAAAAGGAACAATATGACACCAAATAGTCACAAAAAAAAAGGGACACTAGTTGTCCATTTTAAAGATTCCTAAATCACCAACTGAAGGAAAGGCATATATGGACTAAAAGACATCAGCTTTATAAAACGTCAATCAATTAATTTTTTCTTAAATTCTAAGAATAGGTGCTTAATCATAGTCCACACTATCATTTCAGACCTCTTCAGGGATCTCAACTGCACATAACATAAGTCTAGATCCTCTAGATATAAGCCAGTAAACCGTGAATAAGATAATCCACATGTTCCTCCAACAGTCAATTCCCAAAGTTGCATAAATTGCATAAACTCCTCGTATGCATTGGCACGACTTTGGAAAGGAAAAGAGCAGAAGAAAAACCTTTTCAAGATCTTCACGAGAGCGGGGGAGGTTCTCGTAGTTCTTATACTGCTTCAACCTCATCTCACGGTACTTATCTCTTGTAAAATTAAGCCTTTCCCATGGAATTCCTTGTATATCCTTGCCATTTCTAGCTTCTACAGCTGATGTATCAGTCTTTGACTTACTCTGCAAAATCAAAGAACAGTAACTCAACATGGTTAACTAAAAATTGACAATACCACCACTAACATGTCAAAAGTTTAAAATTTGTTCGCATACCACTTCGAAATCATCCTCAAAATCGGAGTCTAAAGAGTCATCAACATCAGTACTTCGTGGAGATTCATCCGCGAAAGTACTGTCATCAAAATCAGTAGTGTCATAGTACTCATCCACCATATACTCTAACTCCTGGTTTTGAGAGTGAGCCATTATCCTAAATACACCAAAAGAAACTTAAATAAGCACTAATTCATGAACTAATTTGACAAGTCTTCACGTATAAGGAGATTAACAGTTAAACAAAAAATTGAAATACTAAACCATTCACATGAATTTATAAAAAATGAAATCGTGCCTGCTGAGGAAAAACATCTAAACCTTTGAATTACAAGGTTTGCAAAAACAATTAAGAGAAAATAGCCGGGAATTCGGTGGAATAAAAGTTTAACAACATCAAAACTAAGTACATCATAAACTCGGCGCAGAATAAATTTCAGCTGCATTTTCATAGGTTGTATTAGCACACAAAAAGGCAATGAAACTGGAACTTCATTGATTTATCATAGAAACCCGTAACTAAGCAACTATTGAAAAACACAAGTGCAAACCGTCGTTTACAGTACATTCTATAAGAAAATAGTTAACGGAAAAGGAGGTTCCACAAACGAACCTTGAAAGAAAGGGAAGCTGAGAGATTTTTACGTGAAATAAACGGAGAAGTAACCGCTTCAACGCCGGAAAAATTCTCTGGTGTCGGAGATTGAGAAATGATGAAAAAGGAGTTTTTGGGAGAAAGGAGAAAGATGAATTGAAACTTCTGGAAATCTTTTGAGAAACGCTGTTTGCAAAACGGCGAAATTTGGAGAGAGCTGAGCTGGTACTTATAACCAAAAGTGGCGGGTTAGAGTGTGGGACCCACCAGGGGTCCGGCGAAAAACATTAGATCACGAAAATCCGTGGGCTAGGGTGCACCGTTCATCAGGGCATGGCGGCTCCACGTAAAACGGTGACGTTATTTTTGACGTTTCACCTTCACGGCCCGTTTCGAATCTGTGATTCGTCGGACTCTCCTCCCTTTTTTTACTGCTACGGTTGTAACGGTTATTATTACCATCAACCAATATATTTTCATTTTCAGTCATGAATAGATGTGGGAGGAGATAGCGGAAAAAAAATTAGAAAATTCACACAGATTTAATTCATGTTTAGAAAATGGAAATGTATGTGAAGAATATTCAGCTATTTAGATTTAGAAGTAAGATAGACCTAAAATCAATGTTGAAAGAGGTAAAAAATATTAAATTACCTTCAAAGGTTAGTTATAAAAGACTAAAAATGCATATTTTTCGGTGTACTTTCATCTCATAACTTGTGTGATTTTTGGAGGTTACATGAGTTGTTATAGTAAATTATGTTCATTACGTCCATTCTTATGTGTAAGAGCAAGTTGGACGAAAGGTGAGCAAAAGAAATTGATTCGGGACCAAAAGACAAGAGAAGTACTTCGCTCGTTCAATCTCGTGTGCACACGAGAGAGTGAACGAGCTAGCTAAGGAGAGCTTGAAAAAAACAGCGAATTATGGCAAAAAAGCATGGAAGTGCACGAGAGACCTAGAAGGAAAAGAAAAAGAGAAGAACTTCGCTCGTTCACTCTCGCGTGTGCACGAGAGAGTGAACGAACTAACCTAAAAAGATATTTCCGAAGTGGGCTTGTATTATTTCGCCCCATGTAAATCCTATCACATTTAAATAGTCCTTCAACTCACTTTTGAGAGAGATTCGACCTAAGGAGAGAGATTCAACCTAAGGAGGGGGATTCAACCTAAGGAAGGGATTCGACCGAAAGAGGCAAGAACACGCTAGGAGCAAGGCGAAGAATTCTTCTACGAGTTTTTCACTTTCTTCTTCCAATTTACCATTATTGTTTATGAATTTTAGTATTGTAGTTTTACATACTATTATGAATAGCTAATTATGTTATCTCGGATTTTGATGGAACCTTTTGTAGGATGAATTTTTGATACGTTTTGATATAATTGAGTCTTTGAATTTTTCTATTTGTTCAACTATGTGCTTGTTTTAGTTAATTGAAGAGCTTTCAATTAACGATGCCTATTTATTATGTATTGTTTGCAAAATAGTACATATTTAGGTGGTTGTTGAGCAACATCACTCCTAACGTATGTGAGAGATCAATATGACGGGTTTAAAAGCGGTATTAGAGATAACGAACCTTTTGACGTGATCATAGTGAGCGGTGAAAAAGTGCGAGTTAGCGTAGTTCGAGAGAATATGACTAGTACATTATTGTAATTGCTCGAGAGAGAAGTACGATAAGTCGAGTGATCACGATCAATAGAGAATACTTAGGCGATATTATAGGAGACGTAGCTGGAAGGATTCCGACAATTGGGAAATCATAACTCTAGACCTCCTTAATCTTATCTCCAACACTTAGTATCTTTAGTTATTAATGTATTACTTTAAATTGTTAGTTAATTAGTTAAACATAAGAATCTTAATATTTCTAACTTAAGAATTATTCGAACTTGTCTTCTTAATGATATTGAACAGTTATAACTAAACCTTAGTTCTTTGTGGGATTCGACTCCGGACTCTTAGACCAGATTATATTTACAGCGACCGCTTATCCTTTTTAGGACTAGAGTTGGGCGTGATCAATTAGCATGATTCTTTTATTAAATGAGCGAAATAGACCTAAAATTATATTAACGGAATATGCAAAATTTCTTTTATATATTAAAATTTATGGATAAATTTCACAAATGGTCATATAATTATGACTTCTTTTTTTTTTTACTAAAGTCATATAACTTTATTTTCTTACACAAAAATCATACAACTTTTACTAATTCACACAAAAATCATAGTAACCGAAAAACACAATTTTCGATAATGTTTTCTTATTCCATTTTTTTTTTGTTTTTATTTTTAGTCTAATAAATAATAAGCCAATCATTAACTCATTTTTTGTATGTTTATCAAGGAGTATTTGATTACACAATATTGAGATATAAATTTGTTAGCATAATCATCGCATATCTACTAGAATGTTCTAAAATTTAAATCAAAAAGAACTTTAATATTAATCATTTTCTAAAATATTTTTGAAATCTTAGCATCTTGAGAGTACATGAAATGAGAATGGCATTAGCTCTAATTAAAAGGATAATATGTTCTACATTAATTACAGAATTTCTCGTTCATATTGCTGTGCCCTTGATGGAATGTTTACTAAATTTTGCCGGATCTACTACTAAGGATTCAATTAGATGAATAAATAATTTACCAATTTGGTTGATCACATTAATAAATATTTTACCCGTGAAAATCGTAACTTCTCAACTAACAGTCTTTCAGTACAAAGCTGACTGACGGTCCCATTTCACACCACTATGTCCGTATGTGGCTGGTCCCAATTCCCAAATAGAAACGGACAAAGGAGTCCATTTGACGCACAGCTGGCAGTTCAACAATGCCTAGACAATTTATGGACTATCTACTTCAAGCTTGTTAAGTTCACATTGGTTTCTTTTGTATGTAATTCCACTTATCTCTATCCTTAATAAAAATAAAAAAGTTTTGGCAGAGAGCGTGTTCATCTTTAATTAGTTTTGCACGGTACTAATTCGAACGGTTAAGGCTTCAATGCGAGTACGGGTACCGACGTGGCGTTAGCAAAAAAGATTAATTACACAATATAAAATTCAAAGGAAAAAAGAAAAGGACCAATAACTTAAAGTTAAAATGTGCAAAAATGTTAGTATATTTTACCATTTAATGACTAGAAAATTTGGAGAAGTTAATTTTAAATACAAAGTGTCAAAATTGAGTGTCAATAAATACGAATAAAGTATCGAGTATGTAAGACAAGAAAGCATAAATAAGAACAATAATGTAAAGAGAGAGAAAATAGAACCTGTAACATTTGAGTGCCTCTAAGGGTGACTGACATGAAATATATGATACGTATGTACGTACATATATATATATACACCTATAATTTTAAAAACATATGTCTATGTGGGCATCATCATCATCATATTGTACCCGTCCGAAATAGACTCGGTAAATATATACCCGATCATCATAAGGCTCTATAAAGTCGTACTCGTCCACGTAGAGCTCAGTAAAACTTAACTGATGAGTGGTTGCACAATATATGTCATACCGATCAACTATAGTGCGGCTCGTAGAGTAAAATAGGTACATATATTTAAATTAAACTAGACTCCGCAATCAGTCGCCTTCAAATTGGATCACCAACTCCCATCTACGGTTTTCATTCTACACGTGTCTGGTTCAGGAGATTTTATTCTAAAACATTGGCAGATGCAGATACCACCACGTGGCTCCTTTGTAGCTGACAGTTCTCTTAACTTGCTTCGTTTTCCCATCAAATAAAGATAAATGGCCAGGTGGGTGACTGTTTGGTAACTTTGCCGTAAAACGGCGTTAATGAAGGACGTTAAAGTTAACCCTGATTGGTGGCTTTGACCGTGGTGGGTTATTTCTTACTATAGTTTATCTTTCGTCGTTGGTCGGCACGAAAGGGTCCCAGTGGGCTCCACGCAGGTGGGTCATTTTCCATGTGTGGCTTCATTAAACTCTGTTACCTGTTGGGTCTTAAGTAGTGGACCAGCCTATTGTCTCATGGTTCGCATGTGTGCTTCCTACTTGGAAAGCACGGCCTTTGAAATTGAATTACCCGGTTATGTTGTCAATTCGTTGTTTTAATTATATTTTTTAATTTTACTTTAGAAAACGATAACAGAATTATTGAGAAGTTACAAAAATTAGTATTAACGATATGAAGTTGTTAGCTAGTTATGCAATGGTTTCTATAATAGTAATTTGCACGCAGAAGCAAAGCATGAAGTGAAATTTTAAAAAAAGGGCATGAAATGAATAAAGATATTCCCCTTCTAACAATTTAATTTAAAAGAATTAACTCAAATAGACGTCCACCCTATCGCTTAAACTAAAAATAGCCGATAAATATAATATATGTATAATTTATGTATTACATGTGTATAATTGTGACATCTTATAGCAAAGGTTTATACCCTATTTATTATAAATAAAAACTCCTTAAAAATATTATTTTCTATAGCTACTTTTTTTTTTATAGCAAAATATGTATTTATGGTATACACTACCGTTAAAACATTAAATACGCCGTGTAATATTTTTCTCTCTCATTCTTTCAGTTTTTCTCTCCCAAAATCACCGCAAGTTATATCTTATTTCTCTCTCCACGATCTCTCTCCCTCACAACAAGTTTGTCTTCCCATTGTTGAACCACAATTCTCTCACAACACCATTGTCTCTCTCAATTTTCAACTTTTTTGCTCCAAAAAGTTATGGTAAGTGTTATAGTTCTTGGGTTTTTGGCCGGTTAAAGCTTCTTCTTTTTCTCTTTACTTTTTTTTAAATCTTCACCATTGTTAGGTTTTTAGTAGAAAACTTCAAATTTCCTTTTNTTTTTCACTAAGGGAGTTTGTGGTAGTTACTGGTCTCAATTGTATTAGTGACACTGACGATTTTGAGTTTAACACAAAGATGCCTAACAGGATTGTGGATACATACTTTGGCAGTGCAAAGAATGTCAAGAAGAAAGATTTGGTGAAATGCTTTGATGATAAGAATTGAGGTTTTGACAATGATGGAGATGCCATTAAAATAGTTATGTTGTATTTCATACATACATTCATATTATCCACTAAAAAGAACTACACAACCATCCCAAGATTACATTTTGACTTGGTTGAGAGAGGGAGATATTGTAATTACCCATGGGGTAAGGAGGCATTCAATGCCTTCTCAAATCTATTAACAAGAAGATGGATTCCCAGAAAAAGTATTACAGGAT